TAAAAAAATAAAATAAAAAAACATTTGAATCAAATAAATAATATAAAACAGATCATACAAAATAAAGAGTAGATTAACCGTTTACCAATAGAGAGAAAAATAGTACGAAAATAAAATCATGAGGTTGAAGTTATTGTTGGGTAAAATAAAAAAGAAAGCTTTAACTAAAGTTCTGTGATATTGTTTGAAAAGAAAAAATGATCTTTATTATTTAAAAAAATAGTTTTTGTTATTTAACAAAAATGATATTTTTTATATAAAAAATGCAATTTTGATTTCTTAAATACTACATTTCTAACATAAAAAAGGTGATCTTAGTTATTTAAAAAAGTATTTTATTGTTATTTAATAAAAATGACGTGTCATATATTAGAAATATAGTTTTTGTATTCTTAAAAATTATGTTTATGACAAAAGAAATGTGATTTTTGTTATTTAAAGAAGTTTTTTGTTATTTATCAAAAACTACATTTTTTTATGTTAAATGTGTGATCTTTGTATTCTTAAATATTATGTTTATAACATAAAAAACATTATCTTTATTATTTAAAAAAGTGTTTTTTGTAGTTTATTAAAAATTAAGTTTCTAAGGTCAGAAACATGGTCTTGTATTCTTAAAGATTACTTTTTTTACATAAGAAACATGGTCTTTGTTATTTAAAAAAGTATTTTGTTATTTAATAAAAACTATGTTTTTTATTTTAAAGATGGTTTTTGTTTTCTTCAAAGATTACGTTTCTAAATAAAAAACATAATTAAAAGTTTCTAAAATATATTGATTTTCAAAGGTAAAATAGAACAAAAAATTTTATTATTGAGGTCAAATGTTGGACAAAAATAATTTTTCTTTTTGAAGGTAAATTTCTGATTTTGAATCATTTAAATACTGTTGAGAATATAAAATTATCATCATAAATTAAATACACGTGGACCGAATCTTAGAAATCACATTTTCGAGAGAAAATGTCAAAATTATTTGAACCAAATATTTTTTAATATATAAATTTTATATACTATCAATAAATTAAATAATATTTTTTTATTTATTAATAAAATAATATTATTTAATTTATTAATAATATATAAAATCTATAATACATCAAATACAAAATCTATATTATCCAAATAAAGCAAAAAAATAAAATAATTCAATATATTTCAAACCTTTTCGAGTTGTACGCTTTAGTGGCGATTATTTCCTTACAATTTTGACAGTGAACCCAATATGAAATTTATGGATCAGTTGCAATTCAAACTCAGAGTCCAAAATATTTTATTTAAAAGATTTACTATGAATTTTGGGATGAGTCAAAAGGCAAAAGTACATATTTGATGATAAAAAAAAAAAAAAAGAACTTGCAGCCGTTTCCGGCCTATGAAAAGTACAGATATTGACAAAAACGGTTGCACACATTACTTATATAATTTCTTTATTTTTTTTATAATATATTACTTATATATATAGGGAAGAACGTTAGATCGACTTGGTCTTGAAAATTTAAAAATCAAACTAATGTCATTTTAAATTTCAAAAAATTTAAAGTGATTAATTAATATAATGGAATTAAAGTGATTTAGTAATTTGACTGTCTAATGGCTATATGCTGATATTTCCTTTTTTATGCATTAAGTCTAAGTAATTTAGCATTCAATTATTTGAGTATTTAATTGAATAATTAACACATATTTTTTCAAAGAGCATAATTCAATTTTTTTAAAAAATATTATAATTAATTTAAATCTCCATCTACTGTTACCTCCTAAGACAAATTCAACATTCTAAAAAAACAAAATTCATTATCAAACCAAAAATTTACCCTAAAAAGAAAATGATTAATGTCAGGAATAATTTTTAAATTATAGTAAAATATTTAATGTGATATTTGAATTTTAAAAACAATTAATTTGATATCTAAATTATAAATTTATTAACTAATGTTATACTTGAAGATTATCTATGAATCACGAGTCTATTTGTTTTACAAAAATTGACTTATGAAAAATGATTTTCGTATTTTCATATGTTTGTTTGACTAAAAACTGGATGGTTAATAAAAAATGATTTACTGGTAAATGAAAAATAGAATTATTTTTTTGAAAATTGTATAATGGATTTGAAAATGGAAAAATAATTTTTTTTAAAAAAATTACCTATGAGTATAACTATTTATTGATACTTTTGAATACAATTTTACTTATAAATAATATTATATCACAAAATATTAATAAATAATATAATAATAAATATTAGTAATTTAATTAATAAATATTATAATAATATATGAATAAATAATATATTATTAATAAATAATATACTATTAATATAACATGTTAATAAATATTATTTTAAAAAATTGATTTTTCAGAAAACAATCGAACAATAAAAATTATTTTTCATTAACTCATCCAAATAACAAAAAATTTCTTTCAATTCAAAAAATATAAATACTTTTCAAAAATCATTTTTGAAAGTCATTTTCAACAAAATAAATGGAACCACGTGTTGTCATTTAAAGTAAATGATATTAATAATAAATACCACGTTAATTAATAAATTTATAATTTAAATTTCACATTAAAATTTGTAAAATTTAAATATTAAATTAAATATTTCACTAAAAAGTAAAATAACATGTGTGGTCCATAGAGCTTTAAGCCAAATTTTATTTTGGTTCTTAATATTTGAAAAGTTCTAATTAGATTTTTAATTGTCTAAAATTATCATATTTTAATTATTCAATTTACAAATTTATATAAATTAACGATAAATATCAACTAACACCATATGGATAATATCAACTGACATATCACGTAGTAAAAAAAAAAGACCAAAATAAAGTTTTGTTCAAAGTTTACCGACCAATGATGTTATTATCTTAAAATTTTTTATAATTTAGATATATTTTATAAAATATTAAATTTAAAATAATATTTTTATAAATTTATTGTAATATAACTTATTAATTAAATATTTTAAAAAATAGATATTAAAAAATTAAAATTAAATGAAAAAATTTTAAATCCTTTGTAGAAAAATTCCATATCATTTTAAAAATGAAAAATTATTTTCTATTAAAAATGTAATTTTACACAAAAATCTTAATATAAAATTATTTTGTACTAACAAATTTATTTTTTATTAAAAATATTAAATATCTTTTTTTTTCTTTTTCAAATATATTTTATAAAAGTGAGGGATCAACTTACACAAATGTAAAACTAAAATAATTTTATATTTTTTACCCATTGGTTTTAATAGATCTAATAGATGAGAGAGATAAGTGAAAAAAAAAAAGTTTAATCTCATTTTTTGGATCTATTAAAATTAAGAGTTAAAAAACATATAAAATTTTTTGTTGTAAGTTGATCTCTTCTCTTTATAAAATATTTTTTATAAAGAAAAAGATAAAAGAAAAATAAAATAGTTGAAGAACAAAATTTTTATTTTTAAGTTTCAAATATTTTTATATTTCAAATATATTTTATAAAATACTAAAATTTAAAATAAATTTTATTTTTTATTATGATATGATTTTTCAGTAAAATTATGTTTTTAATAGAAATAGATTTTTAAAAAAAAATAAATTAAGTTAAAAATTTAAAATCTTTTAAAATTTTTTTTATATATTTTAAAAAACTTAAGTAAAATTTTCTATATTAGGTATAAAATATTAAATAAAACTCTATATGGTTTTAAAATATTAAATAAAAATTTCATATCATTTTAAAAAATAAATTTATTAATCTATTCAAAAATCTAATTTCTATCAAAATATCTATTTTGAATCTAATTTCTACTTAACAATTTATATTTAGAGAAAATAAAAATATTATTTTAGTAACCCGATTTCTTTTTCTTACTGGATCGGCAATAGTAATGGTCATTCAAGTTATCTATTTTTTTTATAAATATGAATTTTTAATAAATAATATATTCAAAATATAATTTTTAAATAGAAAATTTTCTTAATAGATTAATAAATCAATTCTTTAAAATAATAATGAAATTTTCATTTAACATTTTAAAATGATATGAATTTTTTTATTAAAATTTTTTAATCGATATAGAAATTTTTACTTAATTTTTAAAATGATATGAAATTTTTTCAAAAGAATTTAAAAATTTTAACTTAATTTTATATTTTTAAAATTCTATTTTTATTAAAACAAAAAATATTTAACTAATAAATTATATTACAATAAAAATATATAAAAATATTATTTAAAACTTAATATTATATAAAATATATTTAAAATATAAAAAAATTCAAGACAATAACATCATTAGTATCTAAAATTTGTGTGAAATTTTATTTTGTTCACTCTACCTAGCACGTAGTTGATCCCGTAATTATGAAATATAAAATTTAATTTATTATTATTTATTTTATTTATTACATGAGATGTTAATTGATACTATTTATATAATGTCAGTTGAAATTTGTTATCAATTTAGACAATAAAATACATGAAAAAAAATCAAAATATGATAATTTTAAATAATTAAAAATTCAATTAAAATTTTTTTAAAAAGTAAAATTCAAAATAAAATTTAACTTAAAATTTAAAAATCAAGTGTGCTGTTAACCTTTCACTAAAATTGAAAAGTTATTCGCGGGATTAAAAAAACCTTTTGATCAATCTTTCTTTTTGCCAATTGAATAATTACTCCGAATAAAATTCCCATATCCTATCATCCCTACCCTCCAAGTGACACCCCATCAAATCTCAACCGTTGAAAACGTGAATCATCCATTATTAATCAGTTAGCGGTGATGAGACTATGGAGTTGTATAATTTTTGGAGGATGTGATACAGGTAAGCTTTTCTCAATTTGAAATGTAAAAATTTTATAAAAAGTGATGATGGCACGTGCCGGCCTGCCTACCACAGTAAAGCAAAAAGAAGACCGAATCTAGATCCGACGACCATATCCTTCCGTCAAGACCGGGACCTCTCTAATCCAATCCAACGGCTATTAACCCACCAATCATCTCAACCATCGAATCTCCATCCAACGGCTTAAGTTGAGCCAACCCTTCCCTATTACAACATAAATGCATATCAAGGGTTCCGGTCCAAATCTCCAGATTCACTATTTCTAGCAAACCGAACAAAAGGGGAGAAAAAAGAAACCCGAAAAAATTTTGAATAGAAAACCTCTCTGTTTCTTGGATAGTGCTAACGTGCGCGGTTTTAGAAAAGGCGCTGGTTTAACGTGCGCCGTCTGAGATGTTGCCGGCCGCATCAAGAACGACGGTTGTGATAAGAATCTCACGGTACAGGAAAGGTCAGTGGTGGTGAAAGTTAGTTAATTCAGACGGTTGCCGTATTTTTGGGGTGGGACCCAACCGGAAATAGAAGTTAAAAAAGAAAAAAGAAACAAGAAAAGAAATGGAGGGCCAAAAGAGCCAGGCGAAGCTAACACGAACACAGTCGTCGTTGCTTCGTTCATCACCGACCGTCCGATCGTCCATTCACAGTATGTCTTCCATTACCGAAGGTGCTTTTATCAAAGACCAAGAAGAAAAAGACGACTACCAACATCGAGAATCGTTACTAAAAGACGAGAAGAAAAAGAAGCCGCCACCAAAGATGTCATGTTCGATGTCACCGAGGAATATTTCGATCCGGTTCAAACCGGTTTTCGCCATGGTCTCAATCTCTTTCTTCACTTTTTTCTCTTTCATCTTCTTCTTTTGCTATTATCTTAAAAGAGAGGGAATTCCCACATCGGAAAACCTCTTATTAGCCTTAATCTTCGTTGCTATAACCCTCTTTTTCGCTTCGAAACACAAAGCTTTAATCAACCAAGGCATTGTTTGTTTCAAAGAAAGACTCCACCTTTCAAAACCCAATTCGAAGCCTGTCCAATGGTTCATTGGAGAAACCCAATGTAACAAAAACAACAACAACAAAGAAAAAGAAAGGCTTCATCTGGTTGTAAGAGAAGGGGTGGAGTTTTATAGCAATGGTGACTTCTATGAAGGTGAATTTCATAAGGGAAAATGTAATGGGAGTGGGGTTTATAACTATTTTGTGAATGGGAGATATGAAGGGGATTGGGTTGAAGGGAGATATGATGGGTGTGGGGTGGAGAGTTGGAGTAGAGGGAGTAGATATAGAGGGCAGTATAGACAGGGCTTAAGGCACGGATTTGGGGTTTATAGGTTTTATACAGGGGATTCTTATGCTGGTGAATGGTGTAATGGGCAAAGTCATGGTGTTGGTGTTCAGACTTGTGCTGATGGGAGTTGCTATGTTGGGGAATTCAAATCTGGGGTTAAACATGGGCTTGGCTACTACCATTTCAGGTATGAAAATAAACTCTTTGGTTTTTCCCACTTTTGGGACGATGAAGTTTGAGTGAAAAGGTGGGCTTTTTAATTTAGCTTTTGTGGATTGAATTTCTGTAATTCATGTTACAGTTTTCTTTTAAACTTTTACCACAAAATAGTCATGATTGGTTTTTAAAGAAAATGGTATTGTTGTCTTATGGGATTTTTATTCAGACCTTTGCTCTGTTTCCATAGGTGTATTGAGTTTTTGTTGAGCTTATGGAATTTTTATGTTATTTCTCTGTTTGTATTTTGGATTTCTTGATGCCAGAATAACCAGAAAATACTAATTATGAAAAAGCAATCCGTGGCTTTTATTTTGTTATCTTCAAATTTTGGATGAAGGGAGATTTACTATGGGGATTGTTGAGCTTCTGCTCTAATATTTTGCAGTTTTTTTTCGTTAAATAGAATTTTGCCTTTTCTACTTTAAGAAATATGATGAGTTTAGTATATCCGGCTCAATTATGTTGCATTTTACTTTTTGAGTTGCTTTCCAAAATTCAATTGTTTTTTTTATTCAATAAGAAAGAAGAATTGATTTGCATTTAAGTCTTCGCCCAGAAATGTTGTTGATGCTGACGTGTTGATTGGTTGTGGATCCTGACTTTGGATTCCTTTTATGAATGTTTAATATAGCATTTGCCTTTGTAATGAATTTGTTTCTTTACTAGGGTTAGTTTAGTTTGATTTTTCTGGTTTTAGGTAAACCATTTCTATTCTATTGAAGAGACCTAGTCATGATCTTTATAAATTTGATATTGGTGTTGTAGAAACGGAGATAAATATGCTGGTGAGTATTTTGGAGACAAAATGCATGGATTTGGCGTTTATCACTTTGCTAATGGTCACTGTTATGAGGGATCTTGGCATGAAGGTCGAAAGCAAGGGTATGGCATGTATACTTTCCGGAGTGGTGAAACGAGATGTGGTGAGTGGGATTCCGGCACCCTTAAAACCCCTCTACCCCAACTAACTGATGCAGTCCTTAGAGCAGTTCAGGTATTTTACTTGATGTTGATGGCTTCTTTAATGTGTTTACCTTGTTTGTTAATTGGCCAAATACTGGTGTTATGTTCATTAATTTTTTATGATATTTTTTGGGTCTGCAGGCTGCTAGAAAAACAGCAGCAAATGCTATTAGCCTTTGCCGGGTGGATGAACAAGTGAACAACGCAGTTCTTGCTGCAAATAGGGCGGCAACTGCTGCTAGGGTAGCCGCAATCAGAGCTGTTCAGAACCGGATGGATGGCAAATTTTGTGATACAGATGTCTGAGAGATTAGCTTTGCTTCAAAATGTAAAATTTTTTAACTAATTTTATCTATTTGGAGAGGTCACCCTGGTGAGCAAAAGCTCATTGGAGGTTGAGAGATTGTGTTTGAGGTTTCATTGATCACAAATGTAACTTGTACATAGCTCTTTTATATCAATGGAAGACGTGTTTTCAGCAGGTTTATATCTTTTTCCTTGACATATCCATCCTTTTCTATATAAGCTTTTTTGTGGGTCTGATTGAACTTGCTTCATTAATCTGTTTTCCCCTGCAATTACAAGGTCATTGGTTTGATCCCATCCTGTCTCTCGTATTATTGTAATGATCAATAACAACAAGCCATCAACAATTTGAATGTCTTTTTCTGCTAATTTTGAATATCATCTCTCCGTTCCATTAGTTGATCCAAATCCATCTTGGATATCCTTTAAGTTATCCCTGGAAATTGATTCCTTTTCAATCCAGAGATAGCGACAAAGGGATTTGATGTCATACCTTTTATAGTTTATGTTTATAAATGCCAGATATTCAGGCATTTGCTATAACCCTGTTTGTAGAATGAACATAAGTGCCATGTCATGGGATGTCAAAGGAGATGGGGAAGATCTGGGCGCCATAACGCTTTGGCAAAGGCTATGAACACATTTCCAAAACTTGCTTCCAAAACAATAATATCAAACACAAACAGGGGTAAACTCTAAATTCTTAAACAAAATTAGGCCTCCCTGTTCTGTTCCCAAAATGACAAATCTTGAGTCCTTATACTAATGACTAAAACTGTATTGATCAAACAATATGACACTCTACCCTCGATGCTGATATATTTCATTAAACTAATGATAAGAATCCATGTGACTTCACCCTCCAACTAGTATAATGTTGGGATAGACATTATTCTATCTCATTCATACCAGCACATGGAAGTGGTGTGGTGGGGTTCTTGTTTTAGTGAAAATAAAATAAAAACTGCAACTTTTCATGCATGCTGGCTGGATCCACAAACCACAATCTCTGTTCTATTAAAATTTGAAAGCGTACAAAAGAAATAACTCGTTCTTTTTTTTATTCGAATTTTCAAATCCATTGCAGATTCTTTTTCTTGCTTCTCTCAAACTTTGGTTGTTACCTAGATAAATTCAACCCTCCTTTCTCTAGCTGAAACTTCCAACTACTCCACATGCATTTTCACAAAGTAAAAAAGGGTTACACCCCAAAAAGTATAAAAGTTTTTTTGGGGTTATGTGGTGAGATGGTTTCTGCTTTGTTTTGACCTTTTCAAGATTATCTCAGCCACTAGACTGATCAAAGCCTTTCTCTCCAGCATGCTACTGAGTCTGAGCTTCTCTAACGGGTAATAATATTTCATTTTGCGGTCAAGAGAAAGAGAGAGAAGGAGATAGGATTACAATAAGATATTCTTGTTTGTGTATATATGTCGTGTAGCATGTCCTTACCATAATAAAATTCCATTTCAGAAATAATTGTTGATTGATTTTTTCTTCTAATAATAGCAGGTTTTCTTCATTTTGTTGTCTTTGGAGGGTACAATTTCTGACCATTGTTTTATTCTCCCATATCAAACTTTGATCTGGTCAAATTTCTTGGAGCTGATCCGCAGTTAATGTTTTTGTTACAAGCTAAGCTGCAGCCTGCAATGTAGGGCATTCTTCCCCTTATACGATCACTTTGCAAAGTACTTTAAAGATATTCCTACTATTGAGAAAATTGATATTTCTTCATGGGAAAAAAATTTTAATTGTACTTTTTCTTTTTTTTAGCATGTTTGACAGAATGCTGTCCCTGCTCTGTTTCTGCTCTTACTAATGTAAGGCCCTTGGCTTTTGAGGTAATGGAAAAGACCCTTCAAATAAGAATTGATGTTGGCCAAACAAAATGAAAGTTGAAGCTCTCCGCAGCAAGCAATTTTTTTTTAAACTTAAATCCAATATAAATTCCCTGATCCTGAAATGAAGAAGTCTACCCTTACCTTGAACTTTTAACAAAAAAAATGAAAGTTGAAGCTCAATGAAAAAAGTCCAACTCCTTGTCTAGATTTACAATCAAAAAGAAAAACAGTGACCAAATTGTGTGACAATGGAAGATAATTTGCCATGTCAATAAAAAGTAGGATTTTCTGATCCAACTTGCCAGTACACCAAAATCCAAAGATGCTTTCAGATTTTTCACTCAAAAGTAGGAATGGAATATTATTTAGCGTGACATGTGTCTGTATTTTAGAGGCTACAAAATGAACGGGGAACCCCCAAAACAAATATCTAATTATAGCAGCAAAGCTTCCTGCAAGTAGCATTGTGACACAACATGATAACCATATAGGAAAATACAAAAGAACACCAAACCTACTTTACTTTTGTGTCTCTAACATGAAATTGTATGGGCCATTTGGCATTTCTATTTATAAAACTTCAAAACACAGAAAAAAAAGTCAATGGTAGAATAACCAAATTCTGCTTCTCTATCTTCTTTTGCTTGCAATTTAATCAATCATGATTAATAAGAATTGAACCTTTACAAGCCAGCTGGTAATATGTGTTCCTGAATTAGCTAAGCTAGGTACCAGAATACAGAATCTAGAACTACCCCATGAATTATAACGTCAAGTTTACTCTTTATGAGAACAGTGATATAGTAGTAGGTTTTATTTTCCTGGAAAAACTTGCCTTTTTCTAGAAAAAAAATTGGGTACTAACCTCTCTAGCAAGAGGCGAATTCACCTTGGCATCCATGGATATCCTAAAATATTGGAAACTAAAAAAAAAATTAAAAAATCTTTTTGGATATTTATAAATTTTCCTGTAATATCTTTTTAATCAACAAAATTGTTAAATATGTTAACAATTTTTATATATATTATAATTGAATACTCTGAAAAAAAAATCCTGAATATGGCAATAACTCTAGTCAGAAATGCCTTTTGGTAGCAATTAATTGAATCCAGTACAGGGAAAGTACTGATTTCTTTTGATTTCAGTGATTTAATGCAAGCAAAGTTGGCAAAAGTCCGAATGAAACTATGAAAAAAGTAAGAAAAAACAGAAATGATGTCTTGATCAAGCTAAAACCTAATATGGAAGCTAAGCACTTGAAAGAGTTACTGCTTCGTTGAAGTGCTTTTGTAGATATTCTTCTCTAAAAGTTCAAAAGAAGAGCAAATATAGAGAGTAGAGAAGAAAACAATTGGTTATATTTCAAGCAAATTCTAGCTAAAAGCCTTTGCAAAAGATGGGGCCTATGATTTTTTTTTTTTCTTTCAACTGATACATGCAGTAATCTTTTACAAGGCCTCTAACTTGACATTACCTGTTATAGTTATACAATCATCTTTGATCCAAAAGCTTATGTTCCCTTTGTTTTAAGGAGGATTTTTAGCCCTGAATAATTAGCCACGCTTAGCCACGCCAAACCTTCGTGTAAGTGCCATTTTCTAAAGTTGCCTTAAAGCAAAAAAAAAAAAAAAAACAATCCTATAGAGTTTATATTTATACACTGTTAGTAAATCAGATAATGTCATTTTATTAATGAATAAATATTAATTTTTAAAATACATATATAAAATTTAATATTTTTTAAAAAATTTATTAATTAATAATATAATATCATCTAATTCATTTTATTAATAAAATAATATCATTCAATTCACTAATAGTATATAAAATTCATATATTATACACTGATATAAATGATGTACCAAATATAAATTCATATATATACATATATATATATTTATATATATATATAATCTGACCAAGTTTTTGAAATATGCAGGCGGTTCCATAGAGGCACCTTAATTTGACTTTGTTTCATGTCCTACCCTTTTTTTTTTTTTTTTTTTTTCTGGCAATGTGGTTGGGCATTTAAATGATACAATTGAAAAAAGAAAAGAGTTCTTTGAAGCCTAAGAAAGTCCAATTTTGATAGTGAAATTCTTTAAGCAGTGATGTTGACAAAGCTATCTTCTGCCTCTCTTTCTTTGGGCTAAGCCAGTAATTACAGAACCTGTGAATTGGTTTAGTCACCAAATCCAGTCTTTTTTATTGACTTTTTTAAAGACAAAAATTGGCACTAAATAACGTGAAGTTTGTTGATGAGGTGATCGGTCAGAAATGACTCTCCCTGCAGCTATTTTCCTCCAGCTTATATCTTATTCAAGTGTAAGAAATTGCTTATGGTTTACAACTTTACATCAGAAAGTATCTTCCCTTTCATTTTCATAGCAGTGCTAATGCAAAAATTTACATAATATAAAATAATAGTAATTTTTTTTTTTTTACTTAAGATATCTTCAAATTTTATTTGAATTTAATTTTTTTCAAAGGATTTTAAAAATACTTTTTTTTTACATAATTTGATGCATTTAAAATTTAACTTTCAAAATGCTCCCTACTGAACTTTACTTTTTTTAGTAAAAAAATTCGAAATTAGATAAATTATTCAATCTTTCAAATCATGATAAAATATATTGTAATTGACAGCTTAAGATAAATGATTATAAATTGTGCATTCGATATAAATTTAATAAACAGCTACCGACAACATTTGAACTTCAATTTTTTTTATTTAAAAAGATAAATTTTAATCAATTAAATTAATCATTTGTTGATTACCAAACTTTAATTAAAAAAAAAAAATCTCTGTCCTTAGCTTATCAATCAGACTAACTTTGTGACTAATATTTGACTTTGTTGCATATAGGTAAAACTCTCAAAAGCATTATACAACTATTTCGAGTTAGAAGGAACCTAGAATATTATTGATGGTGAGTATTCGAAATAAATAAAATTGATTTATTAAAAAACAATTATAAGTTAAATTCTGAGCGAGAATGATTTTTTGTTATCAATTATTGTTTGATATGATCTTTTCTCATTTCTATACATAAACTTAAAAAATCTATTATTAAATTATATTAATAGATTTATTTACAGATCAACCTATTTATTTAATTGATTGGGCAAACTCGACTCAAATTAAGTTTTGGATAAAAACTTTTGAGCTCGAGTTCAATTTAAAATATTAAATTTTTATTAAAAATATTTCTTAATTAATTTTAATTTTAATATAAATATTAAATTATTAAAATTGATGACTTTTTGAACCCAATGAGCCCTTGGCAACACCTCTTAAGAAAGTTGATTGAGCCGTTTGATCCAATCCTATATTCATGAATAATTTTATATGTTAGTATTTAATTAATTAAAGCTTTTTTTAAGATGCTACAGAAAATTTGAAGTTGGCGTTAAAGTCATTTTGGACCAACCTACTATTTTCACCTTCATAAGATTTGCATTAATTGTGTAGGTGTGGCCTTCGTTTGTACCATCGGATATTTTTATTCTTTAATTTCTCTTTCAATAAATTTTCTTTGGCTTCTTGATTTCTTGAGGGCCACGAGCCAAAAAGTCATTTCGGATTAATTAGAACAACCGTATGATTGTTTTAAATATCAAACCCTAGACTTTCAATTTTTTTTATTGCGTCTGTGATGACTGATGATGACTCAAACAATATTTATGCTTTTATTTAAATGGTTGGAAGAAAAGAATTATTATCATAGAGTTTTATTATTAGAGAGTTTAATGATAAAATAACAGCAAGGTGACGACGTGGTAAAAATATTTTTCACCCACTATGCAAATGGAACATTAAACAAATAATAATTTAAGAAATTAAAACGAGAGTAAAGTAAACATGGTTGAAATAACAACCTAAAAAGAATTAAAAATAAAAAAATGTAGTGATTAAACCTAATTTAGTCCTTTAGAAATTTATTGTTTACTAAAAGAACAATTGAAATAGTAGTAATAAAAAAAAAATCATTGTGAAAATTCAAGGAGGGGTGAATTGTATTCTTGCTTAAAGGGTTAGGGACCCTCCCTCAATGAATAAAATGAGCTACTTAACATTAATTCTTTGGACCCACCTGCATGCTTACCATTATTACTCCTACCTTTGTTTATGAACTGTGAAATCAGCTTCATCATCTCTAATTTTTTTTTTCCCCTTCTCTCTCTCTCTTGCTCTCTTTGTGTTGGATCACATGGAAGTTGGATCTTCTTTTCATCTAATTTATTTTTAAGCTTTTTAAACTATATACACAATGCCAACTACATGTATAAATTACAGTTATGAAAGGATTTATAAGGCATATATTTTGCAAGCCTGGAAGGGAGTGAACAATGGTCATGGCAATATCTTTCCTTTATAAGAAATAAAATGAATTATTTCTTGGAATCATAAATACTTTGAACACACTCACGAGGATTAATTAATCCAGTTGCTAATGGAAGAAATTTTTTTAATTTGGATGTGATTTTTGTGAAAAATATTTTTAAATCACCTCTCAGTGTCCAGTTTGACATTGACAGAATTGGTGCTTCTCCTGGTAATGAGAATTGAGTGACATTTTATGCATTCAATATGATTTGTATGTTATGTAATTCTGTCAAATAAGATAGCCTCCTGTTGGCTAGTTCATCATTACAATTGATGCAGATTCTCTTCGTTATGACTAATGAACGCCTGACTTTGATATAATTTTTGTGAAAGAATTCACTTGTGCAAAGATCAAACAGATTTTATGCTCGGCTAACTTTAGAAAATCTCAAATTCTGAGAATAATTCGACTTTATCATGCATCCATTTACGTAAATCAAAGGCTTAGAGTCCATAGACACTTCATTTGCAACACTGAAATCCTTTTAATTTTTCCAGCAGTTGAATCAGGGTCGAACCATTTCAGTATTCTTTAGCCTTAACGTGACATGTCCACAGTTCAGGCACTGGCTCGGCCTGACTCGGGCCAGGTGTGGGCTTGGCCCGATTTAAGTTGGGTCTTGAACAAAGTTTTTGAATATGGGCGTTGCTTTAAATATTAAATTATCATTAAAAATATTTTTATTTAATTTTAATTCAAACATATCTATTTAAAAATATTAAAATTTTTATTATTATTATTATTTTTTTTTTAACTCTTGGCTCAACGGACCTGGACAAGATCTTTAAAAAGGTTAACCAAAAAAAAAAAAAATAATATTTTTGTGTTTCTATTAAATGTCTTGATGAAGATTTTAAAAAATTACAAGTCATTTAGAAAAAAATTGAGAACTGGATTTCTCCTTTGTTTTTGGCTTGGAATATGTTTCTGGTAAGGAAAATGGTACAAGGGAGTAACACCATCACAGACAAATTCAGAGAGGCTTGGCTTGATAGCAGAGTACCGAAATAGAACCCTTCTGTATATGCTATGTTCTTGAATATTGTCTACAATGGTGAAAGCCAACCTTTTCATCAGGATAAAATTAAAATACACATGGCACTTGTGGATCGTATCACTACGTTCTATTATTATATGCAGCCATACAAAAACTTTTGAACACCCTAACTGTTTCTATAGGTTTGTCCAAAGGAATGGGAAAAAGACAAGAGAATGTGTTGAAAAATAAAGGAAATATTTAACTGCTATCACATGCTACTTACAGCAAGGTTCTTTAGATCTTCTCTAAGACATTTTCTTTTTAATATTGTTGGCTGCTTCAGCTCCAAACTGTCCACCATGTTGCCTGATGGAATCCTCTGAAATCTAAATTCATTTTATTAGTCTAAGGAAAAAAAAATCAAGCTTGACATTGACCAAAAGTATAACATTTAGCTTACTTCTGAAAGCAGCAAGGCAGATGCTCTATCCAGAAGCTCTTCCACAAATTTCCCAGCATCTGCAGAAGGAATTGATGGCCGCACTCCATTGACTGATTTCTCCTTAACATTTTGCACATTATCAGATGGCTTAACAGCTTTTGCTACATAAAGAGTTGACAAAATTGAATCCTTCATCACTCAATGATCAACTGCAGAGCTGGACACTCAACTTTCATGCAAATATTATAGTTCTTCTCAATCTCCCGTAATAATTTTTTTTTCATTTCCTAGATGAAAATGACAACCAGTTTTAGCCCTAACAAGAAACAGATCCTAATGGGAGATTGGCTCCACTACTTTTCTACAACTTACATTAAATCACCACCGTGATCAAAAGAAAATAAAAATTTTCTCACCTTAAGCAACTTTCAACAAAGTCCATTCTTTTGCTTGATGCAGATTTGTCATATTTATCATAATCTTAAAGTTTATGCAAGCAGGTCCTATATCTCCCTTACTAGGTTTCAGGGCATTGTAAGTTGACAGCTATTAAATTTTGGATCTTTGTGCCCAAGTTGCCCTATGCGTACCAACACATTCCAGTGGTTATTCCTTTTGCCTACCAAACTGCTAGTCTATAAGAACAAAAGGTAGGCTAATCCATTTAACCTAAAAGTGGCATCAGTCTTGAGATCAAATAGAAATAAGGAAACATTGAACAAGATTTCAAGCATGTCAAATTCTGAACATAATGGTAACTAATTCAATGAAACGAAGCAACAGATAAACTGACTTTTACTTTTCCTAGAAGGTTACAATAGGAACAAAATTGAAGAATTTGTAACTTGGGCAAGAAAGTGAGAATCTTACAGTAGAGAATCATATGGCAAATGACAATTTGTTTAGATAAATTACCTGTAACTGCTGCAGAATTACTACCCACATTAACATGATTTCCAGTAGAATCTTGTGAAGAAGCTGCTTTTCAGGAAGATCTGGTGGAACTATGGAACCCAATGGAACAAAAGCAGCTAGATCGGGGGGCTGATCTTTCCCCAGAGTAGGGTTAGCCTACCAATAATAAACTGATATTTAGCTAATTTGGCCAATCATTACAGGTGAAACGAGACACATTAGGAAAAATTAAAATCACCTCCAGATAAACGTAAGATGGATCTCTCCCAATTGATATAAGAAACTTGTCAAGACCGTGGGCATTAAGAGCTGGGAATAAATCAATTAGGAGTTAGGCCCAAACAGGCACCAGAACAAAAAAATTTAGAAACCAAGGTATATAGAGTGATATTGACTAAGTTTCCTCATTGATTTCCAGTTATGTAAAGCCACAGCCTAGTAAATCAGTCCCCTTTTTCTACCACAGGGGTTCAAGGCCTCGATAACTAAATTGCATACACCATGACAGTTATAGCATCCACACTTGTAACAAATTCACTGACATAAATGGACAAAAAAGGAAGCACGAAGAATATAATTGATAGTTCAGCTATTAAAAGTAATCTGCTCAAATAATTAGAGTAAATTCAGTAGAACACTAAACAAGCAGGTAAAGACTCTTATACTAAATACATACACTTACTCATAATACAATCTCGGAAAATTTTGCTACAAACAAGTTTAAACTAATATATACACGTACCTGAAGTATCTCACTCAATGCCTCTTCTGGAGCCATTCTCAGACCACCATTTCCTAAACCAAGCCTCCAAGATAAAACTGCACAGCTTTGAAGCCACACAAAACTCTCATTAACATCTGAAAATTACTTCAAATTTCAAATATTGACACTAAGATGTGAGAATACTAAACTATTTCCATGCATTATATGAAAAGATTAGGAAAATTCAAGTGTGGCAGAAGGTAAGTACCTTTCAAATCTACTTTTATATCTGCAAGAGCAGAGACAATATAGTACCTTTGTTTTTTGTCCTGCATGAATAACCATTTGCAATCACTCAGAAAATCAGAAAACAATGCCAAGATTCATTCAGCACAGATGTCCCAGTAACAGTACAGAATCTTATATTATATCTTCAAGAACAAATTTTGCTCAGTGCACCTCTATTCCAAACATATTTTGCCTGAATGAGAAGAAAAATCTAGTTTTAAAATCCACGAAATACACGTGTATCTGTGCAAAAGGGATTCATGAGTTAAGTTTAGCTCTCTTCTTTTACCACAGCTTCAACCATCAAAACAACAGGATGTTCATAGTGGGAAAATTCTATTTGAAGCTCCTGGAAGATCCCAATGTACATATCAGTCACTAAAGAAAAGGGTACAAAAGAAGCATAGCAACCATAACTTAAAGCAAGGCTATGACTATGATTATGTACTTCATTGATGCTATCAGTCTCATTTTCTTTCAGTAGGTCATAGAATCGATATAAATTCATTAAATTCAACCATAATCAGATACAAACAGAGAAATAGTGCGGAACCAAAACCATAGATTATAATTCACAATATTTTCATCCATTCACGGTGCAAATATCTATAAAAGTTCATAATTTTAACACCAAAAAGAACATATTTTAGCAACCTAATCTGGGGTTCAACCCTCTACTAGCACTATTCTTAGCATGAAAAAATCGAACTTAAAGCAAAAGAATGAAAACCCAAACCAATATTGAAGTGTAAATAATGAATCATTGCCTAAAAATTAAATGGGTATTGAAAAGTAGATAACAAAATACTACATAAAAATCAAAACTAAAAATTTTCCAAAATTAAATAAAAAAAGAAAAACCTTCAAACGAGCAAGGAGCTGTTCCTTCGAATAATCCATTGTATTGGTCAGTTTCTGTGCCAAAGCTGAATTGAAGGATAAAATCAAACAAATACAAATGGGCAATGGCTTTTTTTACATGCAATGTGTAATGCGGTGAGTTTGATTGGGCTTCAACTCATCTAAGTGAAACTCAGGTAATATTGGGCTTAAATGGGCTAACTTGGTTCTTTGGTGATTAATTGGGTCCATAAAAAGTAGAATAAACTATTGATTAGGAGTAGCCATTGCTTGGTGCTCAGAAATCTGAATCACATTTTTCCTTCCTAGTCGGTGGTGCTCCTAAAGTCACATGATGTGTTGTGAATTTCCAACACAGAAAATTGTCCTGTAGGAATTTTCATGTGCTTAACTTCAACAGCAACTTCATCCCCTCAGTAGGGCCAAAAATCCATGAAGTGTAGACCCCAACATCCCATATTCAATGGGGTCCCTTCTCAATAAACAAACAGAGACGAAAGTGAGCAGCATCGCCCATAGAAGATCAAAACTATGAACCTGAAGGGGACCAAATACAATGTAGAAGAAACAATTGTGAATGGGACCCTATGCCTTCCATTCCACAAGAAGACAGGACATGTGCAATCTTGGCTTCAGACACTTGATCAGGTTCAAATATTTGGCCAAAAGTAATTATTCCATGACTGACCTATCCATCTTTTTTGTTTAGGAATTAGATTTAACATATCATTTGATTGCATCTTATCACAAATTAAGAACCAAGAAAGAAGTTTTTATTTTCAAATTTGGGAGTCATCGACAGGAAATTACAGTGTAACAGGCAATGTTCTATAGGAAAATCGAGGACTTCGTGTTTTTTCAGCTTCTAGCATCTGCTCATTTGGGCAATGGATGGTGGACAAAGAGGCTATCATCATGCTTGAAATTGTCAATTGCTAATAAACTTACCGTTTCTATATATACGAGATTAAGTGCTTTTGGACAACCAGAAGTTTGTGACCATTTACAGATTCTGTGTTTTTCCTGTCTGCTGACTGATGAAAGATTGCCAGTTTTCTTCATGCAAAACCTAGATACTTGAAAAAGCTGCATGTCACATATCAACATCTAAATCTACTGTAAATTTAGATGTTTTGGTCCATTAATGGAAATCACTATGGTTCTTTATGGCAGATAGTGTAAACTGTGAATTTTTTAATAAGAACAGCAACTACATATGGTTTCAAGTTTCAACAATCTCTACAATTTGTTCCCAGTGACACGGACATTTTGACAATAAACAAAATAAACTGGGGGCTTCCCCATGCATTCCAAAGGCCTGTTAAAATAAATGGCATAGGAACACTGATGAAAACCCTAACATTTAACAATAAAAATAGAAAATATTATTTTTTTCTTTTTTTTTGCCACTTATTTGTTCCATTACAAAGGTAAGTTGATCATTGATAATATTGAATACGACAAACTTAATTTTTATAATTGATACATAAATTGAATATGTAGAAACCCCCACTTTAGATGCCAAAAAAATATTTTCATCTCTATGCGGATTTCTTCTCCTAACTCAAAATACGCTAAAATATGAATTTTGGTCACTGTCGGTAACATCTTTAAGCAACAATTGAAGATCATCAATGAATAGGATTGGACAAAAAGAATGGTGCAATAGGCCTTGACTTTGCTTTTGTTTTGAATTTGTTTTTGCCTTAGCAAAAACTCCATAGACGAATATCACCTTCCTCATAAAAATCATCAATCATTATCGGTGGATCAAATGGGGCTACATTGAACATCTGATCAAAATACTTGGGAGATTGCAGGCTGTCAAAGGAGTACCATGATTCCATCATAGAAATAGGCTCGTCGTTAGCCACAAGAGATTGTACCAGTGACACATTATCATCAACTTGATAAGAGGGTGAGGAGGACATTGATGGGGAAGAGACTGATGATGATGAGGATGTGGAGGGAGGAGGTGGAGATATTGGTGGGCTGGTGGCATTGTCAACAAAGCTATTTGCAGCTGCTGCAGCCACTGTTTGTATTGACTTAGGAGACATAATGGTATCAGGAATGTAATGTGAGGATGTAATTGGGAAGTTGAGATTTGCTGAGGAACCTTTGAGGCATAAAAGTGCAGCATCATAGGCTCTAGCAGCTGCTTCTGCTGTAGAATAAGACCCTAACCAAATTCTTGTTTTCTGATTTGGAGCCCTAATCTCTGACACCCAAGAGCCCCAGCTCCTCATTCTTACACCCTTGTATTTCTTCTTTTCGCAGGATGATGATGATTTTGGAGATGTTGATGATGATATCTTTTGCTTTGATTGCACTGATTGGATCTTGTGCTCGGTCTTCACCATTGGCAAGGGGCTATCAAGAAAGATCAAACAGTACAATGAAAAGCAGTCTTCAGTTATCAATCAACACTTTGATGACAAAATTGCAGGCAGAGGACTGAATCAGTGCTTTTGCCGGGCCTGTCTGTACGTGTTGAAGGATTAATGCTTTGACGAGCAAAGGATCAATGCTTTTGGTTTCTTGTTCTTCTAAAAGTGATAAAAGGAATAAGGTAAAGAGCTGAATGTAGGAAGAAAGAAGGTTGTTTGCTACCTATAGACGAGAGAACTTGAGTTTTTAAAGTTGGAAGATCCCTTGGTCAATCAGTATGGTTCCACATATGAACATGAAAATGGCTGACAGATATTTCAGCTTTATATAAATGGAAAATTAAACATTACTTTCCTGCTCCATGGTAAAACCCCAGTTCCCTATGGCTGGTGCAATAAATATTTTCTACCAAACATGTGGAGGAAATGTCATTTTGCAAAACATCTCACTCAACCTAGTTGTTGATTAGAGGAGGGAAGATCAAAGGAAGCATGCAGAAATAGTTTACGCATTAACAAATTACAGCTAGAAAGCATTTTTGAATAATTCAATATGACTTCATCCATGTAGACAAGTTATTTTCTTAGACTTCCTGCAGAAAGAATTAACAGCCAGCGGGAGATCGACATTATAACATGCCATGATTTGAAAGGTGTTAGAAGTGAATGATTCAACTTAATATTAGTCTGATTTTTTTTTTTCATCTTAGAGGTCTACAATTAATTGCTAAATCCCTGGCTATAGCTACTGTAACTTTTAATGGAAATGGAAATTGAATTGGATCTTATTGCACTCAGGAACCCAACAAATGCCCTAATCAAAGACTAGCAAAGAGATCTTAATAAATATTTAAGTCAAATGGCTGTTTCCTTGACTTAACTAGATAGTCACCCCCCACCCAAGTTGACACCCAGCAAATACACCATAAAAAAAGCTGGACCAAGGGCAAACCAGCAAACTTTTCTACCTGGGTTTTTAGTAATCATGATTTACTGTTCATGTCATAACTATTTATGGCTAATCATTTTTTGTAAAAGTTGATTTTTTAGAGCAAAAAACCTTTGTTTATATTGATATAGTAATGTGAGATTAGAGAGAAAGGAAGAGAGAGTAACATAGGATTCTTCAGAGGCAACTTCCAAGGATCTGCATGCTTATTTTAATGAGCTTTTTGGGGTGGGCTGTGAATGTGATGCATAAAATTTCAAATGAAAAACAATAAACAATGGTTATTAAGTGTTAACACAACACTCAAGAGACACGCAGTCCAAGTAACTAGGCCATTGCCAATACAGAAAAACAAAACAAAAAAGAAGAGAAAAAAAACAGCTGTTGCTGCTCTGTCTCGCAGCTCTAAAACCGCGTCTTTTGGCCCTCTTGCAAAACTGCAAAACCCTCACTCTGACTAATAAATTAAAAAAGCCTTAAGAGACATACATCTCTCAACCGTTTCATGGCATTTTAGTTTGCTGCTTACGCCTGCATGACTTGGCTTTCTTCCCAAGTTTCTCACTCCTGCTACTCACTGAACTTTTTTTTTTTTTGGAGAAATTCTAGGGGATTCTCTTATGGTACGGCAAAACCAAAACAACTACTAATGGCTACCATGGTGCACATGCATTGAAGTTTGAAACAAGGCCTTTCTGGGATACAAATTACCCTTTCTAAAGTTGGGGCCATGGACCAAAAATACGCATATAGTTTAATAGTTTCACACTTGGGGAAGGATGGGATGAGCCAAATTTTTGTGTAGCATATATTGATTTGCTGCGGAGTTTGTTTTTGTCAACTTTTCAGCACATTGTTTGTTGCCATTGTCAGGCAAATGGGCAAATGATGCCTGGCAACGTGCAAAGATTTTACAAGAGAGTATACAAAGTTCCGATTAAAGGGTCGCAAAAAGCATGCCTTTCGACAGAAGATAAGAATACTGTTTGTATTTCGTAATGATAATGGCAAATAATATGGAAATGAATAAGCATTCTGTTCAACAGTAACACTCCATATGGTCATGACTACTAGTTTCTAATCTGCATATGCATTAAATTTCATAAAGAAAAGGGGCATGGCAGACAGACAAGAAGGGAGAGAGATTAGTATTTAATACACAGAAATGCTCTTTCCAACGATGTAATTCGAGTGAAAAAGAATAGTGTCGTCAATCCGTACCAATCCTGCTTCTTTGCAGTCTCCACCCTCCTTCCTTCACACAATAATAAAGTCATGAAATCAATTAAGAAGGCATCTCTTTCTTAAAATTAGAAAGTATTGTCCTAAATTAATTGAAAATTATTATGCTATATGTATTCAATCAGGTGCTGCTCTTGGCACTCGATTCGCGATGAGTAACATGCATTTTAAGAATAATTTCCCTTCACATGTTCAGGCCATCCTTTGTTCATTTCTTTATTGAAATTTGTCAGAAATTTAGGAATGAAACAGGGGCTTAGTTTCTTGGAAATGAGAAGGAAATTTCATTTTCTATATTAACCTTAGCAGCTGAGCCGGGTCGAGCTATAATGCATTGCATTTTGCAGCAGCAGCAGTAACAACAACAAGAAGACTGTGGTTCAATTCTAGCCTATGGCCTAAAGACAGCATCCAAGTTGAAACTGGAAAATTTTTGTTTACTGATATTAATGTTTTGGGCAGTGTTGTACCAAATGAGCTGTTTCAATTCTGAAAATACTTGAAACTGGATCGTTGAATTTTTGGATACTTGAAACTGCACATGTAAACATAAATATCTTAGAAAAGAGATGTTCCATATCTTTGGTATGGTATCTCATTTTCTGTTGATAGATAGGATTTTCAATCTTTTTTTTTTTTTATGATTTATGGTTTTCTTTGTGCAATCTTTCAAATCAAATTCCCTCTCATTGCAGTTCCAATTGTTTTCATGTGCCAATCACATCCACTTCCAGTATTTTTGTAATGTAAATGGCAGCAGAAGAAGGGCAAAAAAAAAAAAAACAATTTTGTCTAGGGCAATTCAGCAGTGCAAGAAACTCTTCTACATCAGATATAGAAAGGCAGATCTGCAAATTTGTCTTAAAGCTTTAAGTTCTCTATCTTATGGACTCACATTCAGGTCCCTACCTGATGTAATTAAACAGCAATGCCTTAAGTGATGATTCATGCTTCTCCTCCTCTCAAGTCTCATCAAATATTCTATCTACGAGCAAAATTATCTTTACAAAATCTATTCTCTCTTTGATTGCTGAACTGGCATTCACATTACCGTACCCCATAACCTTTCCGTACGGGTGTGCAGCGGAAAGTGACAATGAAATAATGAAATCTTCTGCGTTAAAAAGGACTTGATCCTTAGACAACTGGAAGTAGGACCAAGATATTTTTGTCGTAAGGGGAATTCAGAGTTCGACCAAAGTCACTTTCTATGAATATTGAAATGGGAGTGAACTCGGCATTTAGCTTATCTGATTCATGCAACTATTCTTAAGAGATGATTTTAATAAGTTCAACACTTCGAAACTGTTTCTTTATCCTCAAACTATGGCTTCTTTTAAAAAAAAAAGGAGGGGGGAGGGGAGTGATGAGGTTAAGGGTGAGGATAGGCAAGGTGCTAAGATGGTTTTCAAAGGTTGAAGTATATTGGATGATAGAGAGGCAAGATCCATGTGGCTTAAGGCCTTGGAAAGTATCGAATTCTAATCCTCCCCCTCTCTCTATTTTTTATAAGAGGATGGAGAAACTTCCTAGAAAAAAAAGGTTTCATTATCAAATCTACAACAACCACCATATCCAGAGTAATGGCTCACGTAATGGTTATTCTAGATAAATTGTTTTTTGGGGTTGCGTCATTAATAAACAATGGCAGGGAGTTGTTGACATGAAAGCTGGAGAAAACCCCCTTCATGGGATTGTAGATATTTTTGTTTAAGAGGCATTTGAAAACATGCAGTTCAACGACTTCTTTCTAATTTGTTTCATAGATATGGGCAAATTATAGAGGAAAAATGGAAAATGTTACTAGACTCAATACAGCTGCATCCCATTGATAGAGCAAGTTCTTGAATTGCCCCCGTTTTTACACGGAACTCTGTTTCATTGGTTATTAACTATTATTTTAATAAATAAATTGATCAAACCTTTTACTGAACTACAATCTAGCTTGTAAGATATCAGCTTGATGATGATTATCGCTTTAGCTGTCTCATTAGTAAGGTGAAGTATAGTTTTAGCTGGAGCACACTGATCCAGTAGCTCTGACTAGCGTTGATATTTGTAGTTTTACAGCTTGAAGTATAATGATTAGTTCATGTTACAGCTTGAAATTGCTGCATATAGAATGAGAAAAGACGTTTTTTATTTGTTTGTTTGTTTTAGTATAATGATTATTCTTTGCAATTGCTGCATTTAGTTGTTATTCAAGAAAATTTTGTGCTATATATAATTATTAGATGTTGAAGATAATCCTGAATTTATACTATTAATCATTTCTAAGAATTGGTGACAGAAGGCTAGTCACCTTATAAACTGCTTACTAGGATTTGGCAAATTCAGAGTTCGAAATTCGATCTACACTCGTTAGAGGGGCCAAAACTATACTCCTACAAAAAACCAGCTTCAAGATGACTCGAACTCAAAATGATCCAATTACAAAGACTCGCAGCCATTGACACTAGCACTCTAGTTCGGTGCAAGGAAATGATTTATCTACTTGCTCTGTTTTACTAATGATGAATATGACCTTTGATTTTGTGGGCGTGCAATCCTGCAATTTATCATCTTTGCAGTCAAAACTGAATGCTGTGAAATGCAATTTTCTTGAATTAAGATTTAACTACTGTCCTAGAGTATGCTTCAACCTGGCCTAACTGTGTGATAACGGTTCGTTTTGTTCTGTGGATTTTACAACTTGCTTTATATTGGTAAGATTCTAGCAAGCAAGTCCATATTATGGAAATGAAACCACGAGTTTATGCAAAGTACACAGCAACAAGCAAAATGAGATATTGTTACTTGCAAAAGTAATATGTTAAAAAAATGCAAAATAGCAGCAAGTAGAAGATGATTGATCATACCATGACACACTGCAACCATGTTGAATTCTTGCAAATGGTAACTGTATACTGTTAATCAACCGTTGAAGGCATCTAATGAGACTCTGCCTTAAAGGAACTCAGAGAACTTATTGCTACTTAATAGTAAGAAATATGATGATCAGTTGGCAATTTGTCAAACATCATTATGGTCATGCAACAGGATGGGAGTGTCAATAACTTGCTTGAAAACAGGCCACCATGGATTGGAATCATTTGTCAGTGTCAGTAGAGAGCGGCCCATGTAAATCTCTTATCAGCCCTTTCACAATTAGCTGCCAAATCAGAAAGGTATCTAACATCTCAGATTAATTAGCTTCAGAATGATTGGCAGTATAAACTTGATAACTTTTAATAGTAACTGCCATCACTTATCATCTCTGTATCCATAACTTATTTTGTACCTTAGCCTTCCTCCAGTTATGCCTACCATTCGTTCCCAATGACAGGTAAACCCCCGGAACGACTGCCACTTACCTAACAGTAAAATGCCTATTCCTCATGATAAAACAAGGACCAGCCTACTTACCGTTGAGTGATAGTTTCCCCCAGCTAGACTAGTTAAAAAGTTGTCAATTAAAATTGATGAAAGCAATAACTTCATGAAGGTTTAACACTTAACGCCTCCCAGTTAGACTGGGTTAAAAATGGAAGTTTCTTATATAAAACGATAGCATGGCAACCTAAATAAAAATGACCACCTATCGAACACGAAATTGGATTAAATGCAAACCATTTTAAGCATCAATGCAAATGACATGGGATTATCAATTATAACCAATCAAGAGTATTTGCCGAGAATGAAAATGACAGATAGACGATCTTACTTATTAACACTTTTCTTCTGCCCATTAACACTTTTTCTCCATGCTGGTGATGGTGTGTATGTCGCTAGTTGACTACAGAAAAAGCATTTGAAGTAGCAGCAAAGAATACCATTGATCACATGGTATGGAATATAAGAATAAAGGCTTTCATACTGTTAATATTGTTGGATTTACATGCCAATCCAAAATTAGTTAGGATTCAGTGCCACATTTCTACTGCTGTTAACGAAGATAAACATTGCTATCACTTTTCAAAATCTCCAGTCCTTCTAAATTACCAAAATCACAGAATCCCCTAACAAGTTCATTCTAACAACCAGGCCACAAATATATTTTTGTACAAGCTTTCATTAACAGGTAGGAATCATTAACAAATAGATTGATCACTCTGCATTTCGTTAAAACCTGGGTTCTATTAATTCTATTACAGAAAGATGGCAGTTGCCGGATTCAGCGGAAAACTTCACTTAATCAGACTTCTTGAAAAAATGTAAAACCACAATCATTCTGTAAATCTCGTAATGCTTCCTTCAATTATTTGCAAATTACAATAAAAGATGATCATGTAACACCATAACTTCATTTGGGCATATCATGAAAGCAAAATAACCATCAATTGCAAAAGAAATCATGTAATAGTCTACCGTACGTCAACAGATGCGCATAGAATTGATTCCAATACAAACAATCAACTTTCTCAATTGCTTAAAAACAACACTATAGCTGCAAACCATCAATAATAAATTGATACAACCGTGAATATGAACTAAAAATTACCCTTTACCTCATATGTCAAATTCCTTCTAGCCAGTGCCTATTTTCAGCAATTCTTTTCTTAATAAGATCCGGATCAACCATGGGTGGCAACCTAAGGTCAAATCCTATCACAAACCCCTACACAAACAAATCTCCCCATCATCAACACCTTTGGAAAATTCCACATTAGCAATAACTGAATGAAAAACACAGATATGAGAAACTAGCTCACACTTGGGGAGGTTGTGAGAGTCAAAGTGGCAAGGGAGTTTTACTTGTTTACAACAACAATGGGAAAGTTAGCAGTAAATTACATGTTCTTCCAACATAAAATCTCCTTCACAGTTTTTGTCCCTTGTTTTTTCTCTACAAATCTTTAGTACATAATTCTGTTCTGATGTAAGAAAATTGTTGGGAATAGTTTTAGATTATAGCAGTAATTGTTATTGTTGATTGCATTTATACATAAACTAAATGATGGATAGATCTTGATGACAAAGTTTGTTTTTTCTAATGAGATTTTTTTTGGAAAATATAAGACTTTTTTTTTTAAAGTATAAAGAATATTTTAGAGAGAGGAGAAGATAAAATAGGAGGATTTATACGGGATACATACATTCAAAATACTAAAAAAACACACTATCACATGAGGGCTAACAAATATGAAAAATGCTTATTTTTGAAATTATGTTAAATTTTAAATGAACATTCAATCTAAAATTAATGACATAATTATTGTATTATGTGTTTAAGATGTTCTTAATTTAATTTAATTTAATTTAATTAATATGAAAATTTTATTTTATCAAATCTACTTTTCAATTTCATTTTTATCGAATTTTAATATTAGAATAATGAATATAATCATGATTTAATGGGTTAGAATCACTTTTTTTTTATTAATTTTTAATTTTTGCATGAGAATTGAAAAGAAAAAAATTTTTTTTTACATAAATCTTATTCTCAAAATTGTTTTTTCCCATGATGAATCGAGATTTTCTATTATTTTTTATCAGAATTGTTTTTTTGAAGCATTCAAGTAGATGAAATGGTCGTTAAACCAAGTATTTGCCCTATCGAGGAAGCTTCATATAGCCTTCGATATGGCTACCATTTTGTAAAGTCTAAGAAAATTTTAATCTTATTACTCATTTCATGACCATATTATAAACAAAAATAAATAAATAAAATAGATTAAAATTATATCCTCTATTAAAATTTTTATTATAGTTTTACTAATTATTATAATCTATTTTTAAGAGATCTAGCTCCCCTCTTTTTTTAATATTAAATAAAAAATTATGTTAATAATCAATTAAAAAACACATAAACATAAAAAATTATTAAAATTTTTTATTTTTCGTAATAAAAAATAATCATAAATCTTATTCATCTGACCATCAATAAAACTTTATATTTAATATTAAAAAAAGAGTGAAATCCCTTTTTAAAATAATCATAAATCTTATTCATCTTCCAAAAAAAAAATAATAATAATGAATCAAAGGCGAAATTGCTAAAGTTTAATAAAAAGAAAACGCAGATTCAACATTGCACTTCAATACCCACTGGGATTCCTCAGCTTGAACATGACTGGATGATCACGAAATCTCCTGCGCCAACCAAAGACTTTTCTCCATTAACTCAAACACCAAAACCCCACTCTCAGTTCGTGCTGCGTAGCTTCCACCGCTCGACAACTACAAGTATAACCTACCCAACAACTGTAATAATAAAGTAAAAAATAAAAACCCAGAGAAAAGAAAAGAAGAGAAACGAAGCGAAAGGAGTTTTTTTTTTTTTTGGGTTTTTGGGCACTCTACCAATGAGCAAAGGCATGTCTTTTTTCAGTCGTGATCGTGCGGCGTTATTGTTGCCAATAATCTTGGTGCTATGTTTAACGAGTAGGAGTAATATTTTGCCGGTAGCTGACGCTATATGGTTAACGATTCCAAGTTCAGGAACCAAGTGTGTTTCCGAGGAGATCCAAAACAACGTTGTCGTTTTAGCTGAGTACTATGTCATCGATGAAAACAACCCTGATCACATCCCCACCATCTCTGCCCGGGTAATTCTTTTCCTTTCCTTTTCCTTTTCCTTTTCCTTTTCCCTTTTTAACCTTTTTATTACTAATAACTAGGCAAAAATCTCCATCTGTTTTTTTTTTTTTTTTTTTAAACTTGGGTTGTGAACTTTTGATGCTTTTATTTGAGATATTTGTTAGTAAAGGCTTTTTTTAGTTTGAGTTTGTCTAGAATCTAGATTGCACCCTTCTGCAAGTGTCAACGATGTTTAGAACCTGAATTTAGGGGGTAAGGCGCGATAGCCAAGAGAAAACCTTGCTTAATCTTCTTTTTTTCTATGGATGGCAATTTTTCTGGCCAAGAATTGGAATTTAACATCTGATACTTGAGGAGGGTTTCATGGACTTTTGTAAATATGGTTGAAATTAAAAAAACAAGAAAGGAAAAGAAATTAAGTTTGTTATTTAGAATTATGTTTAAAGTGCATCGTAGAGATGTCTTGTGTGATTTGAGATAATGAAGTAGTTGAGCTGCTTATTGTTTGGTCAAAGCGGATTATGACTGCTAAGTAATTAGGATGCTTAAGATCATTTATAGAATTTTATTAGGGATGCGAACTTTTTCCTGGGTTGTGAAGGAGGGATAGTGATTTTGGTTTTATTTTTTCTATTTTTCATCTTGATTAGGACCTTTTAAATATTTACATTTCCTTTTTAGTCTGTTGAAGTTTCATATGAATATTGACAGAATAGGTTCTTTTCTTCTGTTCAAAGGATAGATATTTTATTATCATTTATGCTGCATTGAAGTCATAGCTCATGTACACACAGGCACACAAACTTTGCATTCCGATAAAGAATTCCCTAATGAGAACAAACAACCTCAAGGGAAGTGTTAGGTCACCAATCATCTGAAATTTTACCTCTGATGCAAGATTTTATACTTTTAAACTTCATTGTCACTTCTCTTTCTCCCTTCACCCCTCTTTTCCATCTGTTATTGTTCTTAATCTGCTGAAAAAAATACGATTTCTGCTTTATGGAAAATTCTTGAGGGGAAGAAATGGAAATTTTTTGTGGTATAGCTTTCTGTGAAGAATCCCTTAGAGGAATGGAAAAATACAGCTAATTGGTATAACATTGAGGTTACTCACTTGTGCATTTTATACTTCTTTGTGTTAGACAATTATTTTTAGCTCATCCTAATCCAAACTAGTTGAGATCAACTAGATGAAAATTTCTTCCTACTGTCATCCCTGTATGTTGAAATTATTGAGTTTGGAATGAACTACAAGCAGTATGATATCTTTCAATAAGTTTTAAGGACTTTTCAAGAAAAGTGGCTTGTTATTGTTTTGTTGCTTACTTGTCCCTCTTGTTGGCTTGAAAATAGTCAAGTAGTATAGTTGTTTTAAGTCTGTGGGACTGTTAAATATCTGACCCTGATATTTAATGGCTTCATTGAAGTGTAATAATTACTAGTGTGATAAAATAGCAGCTGTGTCAGATGTTTGGTCTCGCTCCATAGAAGTTTTTTTGAATTTGCTATGAGAAAGAATGTATGGCAAAGAATGAATGGGATGATCTGGAGAATATTACTCAACATGGTAGAGAAAGATTAAAGAATGAAGGTTCTTTGTTTTATAAGTTGTGTTTTTGAAATAAGGTTGTGGAAGAACATATATAGTGGTGGAGAGTAGAAATTGTTCCCGATGCACAGAAGCCTTGATCACATAGGTAGAGAAACATGGCGCAGTTCTCCTGGTTAACCTTTTTCTTAATGGTTTTGGGAAAAATAAGAAGACAACTATGCTTTGCCTTGAGATCAGTGATTTTATATCTTTGGCCATTTATCATGAAAACTCACTCCATCCATCAGTAGTTTTAAACTATAAAAGGTGATGCACATATGAAATATGCAATTTGTACTCAACTTACAGGCGTTATGTCTCATCCTTTAGGTAACATCTCCTTTTGGGAACAATCTTCACCATAATGAGAATGCAACTAATGGTCAGTTTGCATTTACAACTGGTGAGTCAGGTAACTATCTAGCTTGTTTCTGGAAGGATGGCAGTCATCAGCAAGAAGCTGAACTAACATTGGGGCTTGACTGGAAAATTGGAATTGCTGCCAAGGATTGGGAATCGGTTGCAAAGAAGGAGAAGATAGAGGTAAGATCCTTGATGCATCCTCTCTCCTGAAGTTTCAAATCTGACTTGGTTTCCATACCCATCAAATTTCTTATGCATTATTGTATTGCTTTTTATAGGGTGTTGAACTTGTTCTCAGGAGACTTCAAGGAACAGTGGAAGCCATCCATGGTAACCTAAACTATCTCAAGGACAGGTACACATCTCTTCTTAGGTAGATCTTGGAAAGAGGTTTTCCACCACGAAATACTTGAGATTTCATGACCATATTCCTTGAGTTCTTCTTATATTTTAGTTCCCATCTTCAATGTCCTTCAACTTGCCTGCTTTTATTGGAAAATGTTAAAAATAAAAAGTAAAAGGAAGCAGAACATGAGTTTACCATCAAAATGACTAACAAAGTAAGTAGAAAATTTGACTCAAGTCTTAAGATCTTGAAGTATTCAATGATTTTAGTAAAGAAATCATTGCTTCTGCAGTGATAGAAGCAAAAACAAGTAGAGGTGTTCTTTGACTTAGCTGCTAAGATGATTCATTTGGGAAAATAAATGAGGTGTCTGTTTTCCTTGAACTTTGTCCTTTCCTATTCTTGTTCAGGGTCTTAAGATGCATGTTTCTGAACATTAGCAATTACCTTTGAGAACGAATTTTGATTATATTCAGAGGAGTGGAATTCTATGTATACTCTTTACAGTAGTTGATTGAAAAATCCGGTTTGATTGTAACTAGAACTTGTAATGACGTTTGTCCTTCTTTCCTGGATATCTACAGGGAAGCAGAGATGAGGGAAGTCAGTGAAAGAACAAATGCAAGAGTGGCATGGTTCAGCATCATGTCCCTTGGTGTCTGCATAACGGTTTCAGTTGTGCAGCTATGGTACTTGAAGCGCTACTTCCTAAAGAAGAAGCTCATCTAGATTATAAACTTGAGTGATTTTGTCACACAATGTTGTCAAAGTTTCATGAACAAGAAAAACACTAAATTTCTGTTGTACCATAGAGAATTTCTTTCATTTCTTGCTGATTTGGGAATGAAGACGGGTGGTGTAGAGGAAGATCTTTTTATCCACAAAATTTGAATGCAATAGTGAGAAAAAAATTGGAAGAGAAAGTGAATTTGATGGTTCTGGGGGCTGGGAGCATAAATGCATAACCGTGCATCCATGTTTAAAACAGTGATTGCCACCACTGATATAGCTCTATCTCCCCGCTCGGATACAGTTATACAGAGTATTGCCAATTCTTGTTCAACACCCATATGAAAGATTTATAATAAGACTCCTCTAAAATCATCATTTAACCCGAAAATGGAAAGCAATAATAATGGTTTCAGGCTTTCAAGTTTCAACCAGAAGAAAATTACCGCTCAAATTAAAAGAAAAGAAAATCGTAACGGTATTAAAACCTACGGGCCCAAAGGCAAAAAGCCGAAAACAGAAGCTATAAAACCCCCCTGTTGTCACTGCTGGCTGGTGTGCTTTGCAAAATGCTATCCAAAGGAATTGGAGCAATTGCAGCAAGATCTTTGTCCATGGCTCACACTCCCAGGCATAAACCCAGATGGGTTTTCACTCCTCTTTTATTTTCTTCTTCAGCATCCAAAGGAAGAAAGCTGGTTCTCTACTCAAAGCCTGGTTGCTGTTTATGCGATGCCCTCAAAGAAAAACTCCACGCCGCCTTCTCACTGTCCGGCCCAGACTCCCTCCACGACGTCGTTTTACAGGTAAATCCCCACCTCACATTCTCAATCTCTACTTATATAAAGATTGAAACTCGGAAAATTTTGATTGTTGGGTTCTTCTGGTAGCTGAGGGATATTACCAGCAATCCTGAGTGGGAGAAGGCATACCAATATAAGATACCCGTTTTAGCCAAAGTACTGGCTGATGGCACTGAGGTTAGCTTTTTCCTTTCTTTTTTTTTTTTTTGGTTTTGTCTGTTTTAAAACCTATATTAGTGCCTGGAAACTTCTATTATTGATATTTTCGTGATGAATGTTAGAATCCTAGTTTAAGAATTCAAAATGATTTATTTCTTAATAGAACATTGCAAAGTTGATTCTTTTTTGTTGTGAATTGTGTTAAAGCAAACTCATTTGGGATGAGGGTCACTGAAAGTGAGATATGAAATTTGGGATTAGGGAGACAGTGAACTTACGAGTACTTGCAGATGCAAGCTGCTGTGACAATAGGAAGATGTGGTCTGGATTTATTTTTAATGAGGTTGTTTAAACAACTGGGGAATACTATAGTGACGCCTTAGTAGAAGCTAGATGCATATCCCCAAATACTTTATTTAGAAGTAAACCATTATAAGCATAGGTTCTTAAAAGGAAAGCTCATTGTAAAACTGCTGATTTATTGTAAACTACTTGAGTGAAGTAGCTAGGGAAGCTTTGTCCTTGATGAATATTTGGATGAGGCTTTCAAATCTTTGACCAATAAAAACACAACTATGTGAAATTTTATTCTAGCTTTTGCTTTTTGGTGGACTTTTCTCATTATTGTTGTTTTCATGGTAGCTTGATTTCGATTCTGAACTTGCACTGAAGTTGGCAATCTTGTTGTTCAGAGATGTGCTCTTCAGTTGTAGTAATATGGAGCAGTAGTAGTTATTTCATTCTTAATAGTTGAGCTGCAAAGGCTCAAATTCTTTATTATAAGAGTAGCAGCTTAACTGTCACAATTTTCAACAATGTCCATGAGATTTTGCCATGCATACTATACTAGGGTTTCAAAGAGCGTATGTGTAGCGGCATTGCGACTGCTATTTTGCGGTTTCGGTAGCCTCCGCCACCGTTACATACCCGAAATTGGGTTGTGAACGGAATTCACAATCACAACGACTGCGTTCCGTTCACAACCCAATTTGAAAGACAAAGATAGCGTGGATGGAACTTGGAAGAGGTTAGAAGATAGATGAAGAATGGGATATGCTTGTCGATATTTAGAGAAAGAGTTGGGGAAAATTTTGGACGTGGGTTTCTACATTGCCTTTCTAGTTATCAAAGTTTAGGGGAAATTTTGGGGGAGAGGGGTGCTGCACTGAGGGGGACGCACAGGTTGAGTGGGGTGGGGTGGGGTGGGTGCGTGGGTTTTTATTTATTTGATTTTATAATTAATTTTATTAAAACATAAGTTTAAAAATTTGTAATTTTTGAAACTATATATATATATATATATAGATTTTAGATGAAAATTTTTAATAAATTTTTTTGTATAAGTTAGATAAAAAATAATTAAAATTAAATATTATAATTTGATTTTGTTATTTATTAATTTATGATTTTGTATTTGAAATTTAATAAGTTTTTTGTTATTTTGGTATTTATATTGTTGTAAATTCTTTTGTTATTAGATTAATTCTTATTAATTTATAACTATAGTTGATGAAATTTGAAATTATTATATTTTTAAGTTTATAATTTCATTAAATATGGATGTTTGGTATTTAACATATTATGTTTAGTTAATATTTTGATTTGTCTAGAATTAATTTTGAATATAAACTTGGCTCAAGTAAAAATTTTGTTGCTAAATCAAATATAAATGTTTTATTATAATCTAAATAAAATTATGAATTAATTTTTTTAGAAAATAAAAAACATAGATGTCATAAACTGTTTTAAAAAAAAACATTAAACAAGAATTTTTATAATTATAATTATTATATTTTATAACAAATTGTGCAAAATAAAAAAAAATTCACAACCGCGATGACCGCGATAACCGTAATGATCTCTGTTATATCCGAAAATGCGATAAACACGACGCGACAAAAAACGTGACCGCGACCGCTATTTAAATCCCTGAGTATACATAAGATCTATGCTAGGAAAATTACTGCCTGCAATAGTACAAGGTATAAGTAGGTTTTTGCCTAATAAGCTCTGTAACTTTGTGAATAATCTACAACATTTATGGTAAAAGTTATGATAAAATAATATGCTGATTCTTTATTTCAAGACATGCAACTGATTGTCAAACTTAATGGATTAATAACTGTAGGACTCCACCATTTTCTTAGCACCACAAAGTCTCATTAAGTTATACATGATGTACCAGATAGAATATCCTCTATCGGTAAGAGTTCCTGTTGAACAACTGTTGCACCCCTGCGAACTATAAGGTTCTAAAACTGTTGCAAGGGTTGTCTTTATGTCATCTGGAATACTATTTCATCATCTATCACTGTATTCCCGTTGATAATTAGCTAATTAAGGTGATTGTGTCTTAAAAATAGCTCACCCACAAAGTTTGCTATTCTTGCTTGTGTGTGGTATCTCCTTGCAACACTGACTCAAGTCTCCTTGATCTATATGCCATCAGAATTTAAATGGATTTAGCTAACAACAGCCAAAGGAAGTGTTTTAGCACCAGTGGTTGCATCCTATATTATTGCAATATCGCCATAAACATGCATAAACTCAGTTCTAACTGTATTTGTCTACGTCTGTGTATATTTATTAGCGTTATCCTGTGTCACATGGAAATGAAGTGCCTTAAGTTGAATACCATGGTTTGTGTGGTAACATATCCTTACAGAGACACCTTTGGCAAAGAATGTGATCTCATCTTGTAGATGTCATTAGCTTAGTAGAACTTTGGTTTCTGTTATTCTGAGATCTTTTTCTTACATGCAGCTTGTGAAACTATGAACCAAAAAGCTACAAAAGAAAATAATAGTGCAAGCGGCTAAAGCAAGAGTGTAAAAAAAAGGTCTCTTGAAATGGCTCTTTCTTTAGATCCCTGTATTACCTAAATTCAGCTACATGGCCTAGTTCTTTCGAGAGATATCTTGCATTCATCTAGAATCTAGATCCTTATGACGGTTTAAATGTTTAAATTAAAAGCTGGTAGCTTAATCAAAATGACTTTTGCTTATGATCTAGATTATGTCCAAGGTGACAGAAATCTTTTTGATAAGCTTGTTGTTGATTATGCAATAGAAAGATTCCGTAAGTCTCTATATATAAAATGGATTTTTAACATAATGAAAAGGTATATATGGCAGAATTGAAATATTGAATATGACCCCAATTAAAATGATGAAAAAGGATATGTATTTTATATACAGAACAATGATCATTGGATATATGCATCTATTATCTTTATTAAAAAACGTTTCTAGATTTCAATCATAGCTACAATTATAGGTAAACTCTATAACATAAATTGTTCTGCGGCTATGGGTGTTTGATTTTTCATTTTATTTGGATATATCATCCAATCAAATCGGTTGAATAATTGTTCATATTAAAATGAATCGAAATTGATGAGTTGGTCAATGATGCTCGAACATATACTTGTTTTGAGTGCCTATTATTTTCTATCGGTATTTATGGATTGATCAAACTCGAAAGATGGTTAGGTTATGGAATTAGCCATTAATTCTCATGTTTCAAATTTCATTGCATAAAACGCTTATGCTGCTCCAATAGCATTATAGAAGTGTGATGCAATAAAGTTTAAGGATGAAAAATATATTTAGATAACTATGTACAAATGCTTCTTAAATACAATCTTCATTTTCATACATAATTCAGTCATTTTTGCTATATATTTCAGTGAATAAAGTTAAGTTAGTTGATTGAACCTAATTGGATTACAGCTGTAAATTGAAATTGGGTAGGAGTTTGGTGGCAAAGGTATAACTTATTTACACAATGATTAAGTGATATTGCATCTTTGGACCTAAACCCTAAACCCTAAAACTTTGTATTTTGTAAAACGGATCTTGTTCTATCATCAATAAGAGGTTTCTCTATAATGTATATGAATTAAAGTCTGAGGAAGGGGACATGTAATTGACCTGGAAGTAATGGAGGAGGATTTCATCACATAGTTTAAGCTCCTGGAATATTGGGCTTTGGGCTTTTCTGTTTGCTTCTAGTTAAGGACCACCAAATTTGGAATTTTCTATTGGTCCAGGTCATTTCAAGGTAAGCTGATCGTTTAGTCATAAAGGATGAGCATCAATTAGGCTTTGTTCAGTTAGTGGAATGCATTAGTTTACATTCACAGGATGAAATGAACAACCACTTGTTCTTAAAACAGTGTCTCTAAGAGGTGAGATTGTATAATTGCTAGGGTGGAGTCTGTAGAACTAGAAAATTAAGGTTTAGGTAGACTTACTAGTTCATCTTAGGTAGAGAGCAATCTCTATCATTAGTACAAAAAATTACAAGACACAAACTATTATTACTTTAGTATTTTCTTAAAAATCTATTGTAGTCTGAAAACTTGCAAAGAACTTCTTTGTAAGTGTTAGGTTCATGTTTGAAATTCAATTTATATTGTTTACCATTATTTAGTGCTCTAGCCTGTTTTTAGGGTTTTTTGTTGAATGTTTGAAGGAATAAGCTTATATAACGACTCACTCCTCAGTGAAAACTTGCTGGTAATCCCCAAGGACTGTTCTTAAAAGTATTTAAAACTAATCTGATTTCTACACTCTTCATAGAATACTTTAACAGAAATGATATTAACGTAGACTGTCTGGATACTCCAACCAGGGAATTTTTGTTTTTGATTGACATAGAATTTGGATGAGGTTGTTAATAGTGATAAATTTTAAACCTGATTTGTTCATTCCCTCTTCTATGTGGTGGATTTGTTCCACTACTACTGGTTTTTATGGTGAGCAAGACCCTTGGTTGGCATTCTGGTGTTTTTCCCCCCAAATCTAATCTATATTAATTTAGTAAAATAATGGAGTAACTCCTCTTCACACACAGATGGCACGGATTCATAGAGATGCAGATTTCCTTTTGCATTAACAAAGCATCACGACTTTCAATCATGTTCATCCTGTGCACATACATGTGCTAAAAGTTCATGGAGATGCAGGTTCCTTTTTGCATCACAACTTTTCAATGCTTATAATCTTTTTCATCTGGTATCCTGCCCTTTTCATGGCTTTAGTTCAGTCAAAAGTTTCTGATTATGTTGTTACCTTTGAGTAGATGGCAGAATCATGTTGACCATCAAATTATAATGCTACTTTATCTGAAATTAATTAGGATACAAATGTAGTATAACAATTGAGATTCCCAAAATCTTTGTTATAGACAGATACATTGAGATATATCAACAATATTTGAAGATACTTTGAGTAAGATAATATAAAAATATTACTACAAATATATATTTTGTTGACAAATACAGGTATAATAAGGATATTCAAACTAGATCATCGTTCTCTAGCTACCCTTGCACTATTCTTTACAAATCTGGGATAAAATGTTCAATTTATATGGATCAAGGCTGAAGAAGACATCTCACACCAATATCAACCTTTTGTTTCAGGAAATACTGCCTAGATTTTCTCCCCGACTTGGGGTGGAGCTTGTCCAAAAGAAGATAGCAGCTGCTTTTAGACAGTAAGAGGTATCTGTAGTTTTTTCTTATATGATGGATACTGAAGTTCATGTAGAACTAAAGGGGAAAAGGTTTTTGATATACATCAAGTTTGACTAGGTTAGAAAAAAAATCAGTCTTCATCACTGACAATGATTTGCTATGATAAACAAAAATTTCTTTTCATTTTCTTTCATATTATTAATTCCATGCAAACAAAAGCAGGCCACTTTAAGGTCTGGAAAGTAATAAAAATGAAAAATCGCATCAATCATGGTTCTTTAATGTCATATTTGTTCCATTTTTACAACTTTTGACTAATCCATTGTTTCAAAGGCATCAAGCAGTCCGTGCACTCGGACTGCTTTGTTTGCTATTAAACTCCTGCCTTCCTGTGGTTGATGATCGAGTTTGTCATCATTTCATCTTTTCCACATGCGGATGTTAACAAGGTCTAGTGGGTAGCAATAGTGGCAATTTGCATGCACCAAAGGGAAAAGAAAATGAAAAGGATTGTACAATAGATGAAGAGATCAAGCCTTTACTGATCTTCTTTTCCTTTAATGTAAAATGATGCAGAGTTGTTGCACCAATTGCTTGATTTGTCTTCTTTTTCCTTTTCTTATACCTTTATTTCTGTGTTATCGTGTGGCTGAAAGAAAGTTGGTTAAAATGAGTTGAATGCTACTTCAAAGTAGGTTGCCATTCTTGCTAGTGACTGGATTAATAACCTAGTTGACTGATTCCATTGCTTGACTAGGCATCCTTTGAATCAATAGGACCTTCCAAGTTGAAAGGTTCTATTATGGCTAAAGGATAAAAAACACGAATTATAATTCAATAATCTTTTAAACTCTTAATATTTTATTACGCTTAATCAAGTCTTTAATCTTTTATTTTGATTCAATTGAACTCTTAATGGATGAAATTTAGTCATGACAAAATTTAATCAATAAATCCCCGAGTTACAATCAATTTAATCTTTAAAGGGATCTTAGAGAGAGAGAAACAAAGAAATAAAGAAGAAAAAAGAAAATGAAAAAGACAAAGAGAAAAGTTTATTCTATTTAATTTAATTTTTACATATATTAATTCTTATGTGACAAACTTTCATTTATTTTATTGATATCATATAAAATTTTATCTTAATTGATAAAAAAAGTAATGATATTAGCTTTTTCGTCCAAATAAAAATTTAATTAGATGCAAATAAATGTTGAAGTGGTCTATTAATTATAATACAAAAATAAAAGTTTGAATGATTTTTTTAATTAGAGTTCAGGGTTTTTTTTTATACCCTTCAGCCTAATTGCAATGCTGTGTCCCTATAACAAGATTCTATGAAACTTGACTATCTATGAAACTTGACTATGTAATTGGGGCTCAAAGCTTCTTCACAGATGGCATGGCTTCATAAACTGGAAGGTCATCATGGTCAAGTAACTCTTAATTGAGGGTTGATCGTCTTTGCAAAGTTGAATGATCTTCATCTTCAAATTCTCATCATGACTTGCAAAGTCTTTCCTTATCATTACATCACTATTATCTTCTACAGGCGGGCGTAGCCCAGTTTACACGTGGGAATCTACCATTCTCAAGGGTACTCAAGGGGATCGGTTGTCATTACTAAACATAAGCAGTCTATATTTAAATCGAGGTATTTTAATTGGTGTTCAATACTCAAGCGCTTTCTTGATATAAACATACAATAAGTGATTTGATTTTTATAGAATTATGCCTTCCATTATAGTAGCTTATTTCAGTAAATCTTGCTAGAATAGCTTTTCTTTCGTGGATCAATAATCTGTTAATAATTTCATAAGCTTTTTTATGTAGATGATCCACTATTGTGACGACTGTAAAGCATATTATTTATTGATTGTTAGGTTTAAGTAATTAACCTGTCGTGCGTTCATTCTCTTAGTATCTTCTCTCTCTCATTGCCAAGGGAAAGCAGCTCATACTTGGACACCCAGCCATGATCTCTCACTTCAATCATTCTAAGAAAGCCAATAGAACATCACACTCAACTGATAAAGTTTTTCCCACTTTGGATCGCCTTCTGATTTCTACTAACATGACAGAATTCTCTGCTTTAGATCAATTTCTATGTTCTATAAGCAATTTTGCAATTTTACAAGTCCATGGATCATCCCATCCCACCACCATGTTTTATTAACAACTAAATTATTTGTGGATTTCAATTTTGCATACAATCATTAGGACAAATTTTAAGTATAAAAATTGTAAATATAATTCATATCATACCTTTTGCACTCTGCATTCTGTGATCAGCATATCATCAAGGTAATTTATATGCCCTATTTGTTTAAGATTTCTTTTGATTTTTTTTTTTTGAATGATTCATTTGATTTAAGTATAAGAAAACATAAGAATTTAATACTTGCATGAAAACAATTCTTTTGCTATCATATTCATACCATATCTCCATAGAACTAACCTAAGCAACCAAGACCAATCATTTTCCTAGGTGTTGATTTGTTCATCCCTTTAAATCATGCACTCCAAACTTTGTCGTCCAAGCAACTTTTTCATATTCCATTTTTCCTTTTGGATGCAACATAAGCCTCGTGAATATCTGTGAATTTCATATCTGGCCTTATCCGATTTCAGTAGTTTGGGAAGATCTGATTTGCCATCTTCTTTTTGAAAACTGAGGAACAATTTCACTTTGTTATTTATTACTGCAATTGCAAAGGAATTGATGGTTTGTGATTTGCTGGTGTAGTGTTCCAGGTGCACCTTTTGATTTTACAATTGTATTCTGATGGATGGGAGCCTAGAAAATAGATAGCATTGCTTTTGGCTTGTTCAACCACAACTCCACAAGTTTGAAATGACATTTTTCCAACCCTTTTCAGAGTGCTTTTCTTATGAATGATCTGTATTGCCAAACATTTCCAATTGGGTGTGGATATGCATGTTTGTCTGTTTCTTCTTGTCAAAAAGTTGCTGGAACAATTATAGGCTAGCTGAAATATTGGATTCCATTGGTTCATCGGAAGAATCCCACTAATTATCTCATAAAATCCTTTAGGATCCTGGAAGCTGAAAGCCACCATTCTCAAATTGTACATTGTCCTTGGACTCCTACTCAACTTGTGATAGTATCAAGAGGCCATTATTATTTCTTTCTGCAAAACCAGCTTTTGGAGCGGACAATACAACGCTTAAATGTCTAAAGACTTTTTTTTTTCTTATTCGATATGAAAATGAAGCACTTTATATTCTTTTAGAATGTTTGACGTGACATTAGGGAACATGATGTCAATTACTGAAAGAAAACGATGTTTCAAGAAATGATGAGACAAAACATTAGTGAAAGGAAGCAAGAAAACAAGAAAATCTCATGCAATAAACAGATTGTATCTTATGCGACACGTTCGAAAGACTGATAAAGCATTAAAGCAAAGGAAAGCATTCTTGATTTTTTTTTTCCTGAATAACATGTTACTTTTTCAAGTGTGCAAGTTAGGTCTCCCAAACTCAATTAGTTAATCATGGACTTGAGCTGATTTTTCCTTAAATTCCTTGCTGCCTTGACATCTTAAAAACAGATTAATTAAACAACATTGGACAATAATTGGCTACTCTATTTTGAACCAGATTGCTTCAAAGGCAGAATATTTTTGCCATGATTACATCAAATTGTCATCACTGAGTTTGTCCTCTATGTATATATTACCAACAATCTACATAATGAATTTGAACCATAGCTCAGTTGTTTTATGCAACAAACTTTAAGATTTAATATCTAGCAAATTTGAATTCAAATTTCAGCATTTATAATTTTTTTTTATCCCTTCATACATACGATCTCGCTTGTAAAAAAAAAAAAACTGCAGAACGAACAAGATTGGTTTAGACTTTTAGACTTAAGACCAGCCTAGACATGACAGAGAGCTTCAAAAGACAAGCTTTATACTTAGGAGAATAAAAGCCAAAAAGGGCTGTCAAACCCTGCATTTTCCTTTCTTTTCGATCTCTTTTCTTTTACAACTCTTTTAGTCTTTATTGAAAATGCCGCAATATATCAACTTGAAATCAAGGGAAAAAAAGGACAAAAACCCTACAACTAAGAGGAACTTTCTACAACAATTTGATTGATTGCCTCTGCCATCTTATTTGTACTTACAAAATCAAGTCCTTTGGTTTTGTTTCAATCCTGACTGAATATCAGATCCAATAACAAATTAAACAAAAGCTTTTAACGGAGTTGATGGCTAAAGCATACAAGTTTTTAATCATTTTTCTTATAGGAACAATTTCTTCTTCCTGATCTGGCCAATTACGTCGCAGAGTTTATTATTGAGATATTGATGTGATTCAGTGGTTGAAGCAAAGAGCAAATTATTGAGGCAAATGATTTTCTTTCATGTCCACATCATGCATGCTGAATGAGAAGCAACAATAAATGGAATTATTCAAAGCTAGCTATTGTTTCTTTTTTTCTTTTTGGCTACAATTAACCATTAGAAAATTAAAAAGAATATGAAATTGCTTTGGCCAAAAAAATTGTTGAGATACTTTTAGAATTGTATTTTACTCATAGCATTATCAGGATAGGTTTTTTTTTTCTTTCTTTTTCTTCGTGGAAAAAAAATAATGAAAGAAGCTTCTGTGAAATGATAATGATTTCAAAGTCAGCTTCCGACCTAATAAAATTTGTGAAACAAAAATTTGTTGCTTTATATAAGCTTAGTCCTATTCATGGATTGGCTTTAGGTGAAAAGTGTCTAATAGGATTACAACCACCCTGAATTCCACTAAGGAAAACAAGCCTATAAGCACTTACCTTCTATGGCCTGATCTCATCAACCACTTTTATCAAAATTATATTCGCCATGCATAGTTTATTATAACTTTGAAAAGGAAGAATGGGAGATTTAATTTATGTTTTATGATTGTTTCTTTTGGTTTGCTTGCAACATTGTAATCATGGAAGTTTTCCTGTTATGAAAGCTGGAGTCAGTGCTTAATATAATAAGTTTTTTAATACAAAAGAGGCTGCAACCTGTGATAAAGATTGTAAGTAGTAGAATTTGAACCCTAACTTATTGGATGCTACCTTTTAAGAGTATCGTATGAACCAACTAAGCTAAGTTCCGGTTTCATCAGATTCGGATTGCCTTGTTCACAGGATGGATTCAGGGTGAGGGCAGTGGGGGCAACTGCCCCTACTAGAATCTTGAAAATTAAATATTACCGGGTCATGTATCAGATAATCAAGAACTATATGTTATTGTCAGAGTAAAAAACAAATTTACAGTTTTGCTGATAGAAAAGCATAGAACATATCAAAATCCTAATAAAAGTTTACCTCAACTAGCATTTAGAGTCTTTATATCAATTTAGCAAAACATGGAGTTCCTCTCATCATAATCAGAAAATGATAACTTTGATTCAAATCATAGTCAAAGCGTTTCCATTACCATACATTCAAGTTGTTGCATATGGTGAATTGCTGCGATTTTCTCTTGTATTTTCTTCAGTAGTAGTGATATTATAAATTTTCATGAAACAGATAAGTGCCGAAATATTAGAGACTCGGCAGAAATTCAAACCTGGCTCAGTTGTATTATAGCTATAGAATCAGCAACAATGAAAAGGATTATACTATTTCCAAGGAAGATAAATAATTATTTTTTTCTTCTTTTCCTAGTTTCAACACTTTGAATAAACAGGTTAATGGCAAAAGCAAGCATTAGTGTCCAAAAGATAAGTGGCTCAGGGTCCCTGGAGAATCTGAGTTGATTAAGTCATTTACATGGGTTATATATATGAGAGCAATTTGATCACTTCTTAGTAAAAAATTCAGATAAAGATTCTTTTTTTGAGTTAGAGCAAGATGAGAGAATTAAGTACGAATTTCATTAAGGCAAAGCCTTATTTCCTTTTGGTATGCTTGCAATTTGGTTCAGCTGGGATGTACATAATCAGCATGGTAACTCTCAACCATGGCATGAACAGTCATGTGCTCATTGTATATTGTAATACTATTGCTGCATTTGTTCTAGCACCTCTTGGTGCTTGAGAGGTCTTTCTTACTCGACAAGATAAAGCCTCACATGTACACTCATTTTTTTACAGTTCTGATGCATGCACCATAAGATAGCAGTTGTCAATTACTTGTTGAATGAATATAGGAATAGGACTAATCTCCATATGCCTTTTCTCCTCTTTCTTGTTTCTTGTTGAATGAATAGCAGTTGTCAATTAAATGCATATTTTTAACCGAAAAAATCAAGAGAAATTATACCTTCACTTGATCTAACAGTAATGGAAAATTCCAATCATAAAACAATTTCCCTGCTTGAGTTAAACCAAATCTAAAAACTGGGTTTACTTCTGTTTTTGCTTAATATAATATAAAAATCATCCAGTTTTGAAGTTCACTTTGATAATCACTATGGCATCAAGTTTTGTGAGGGAGATGACTTTGATGTCTGAAAATTTTCGTTGACAGGCCAATCCTTGATCAAGGTTTGATCACTTACTTGGGAATGAAATTCACATCAGCATCATTTACATCTGCAATTATGAATGCTGTTCCCTCTGTCACTTTTGTGACTACAGTCATTTTTCGGTAAGATTATACTTATTATTCAATTTAATGACTAATTTCATAGTGCTTGTTTTACTTCACCTTTGGCTGATGATTTGATCACTTAAGATGAAGGCACATTTCAATAAAACTTGTCTTGGAGATTAATTATGTTGTGTCATACTGTATATGTATGGTAAGTTTTGAAGTCACCATCAATCAATATCAGAAGAAGCCATTGAGCCTGCACTAGAAAGAACCTAATTGTAGAAATTGCCTTTGATAGAAAAAAGTCGAAACTGACAACCTGCAATAATTTTGAAGTCTCTTCTAATTATTGTCTGTTAAAAAATTGCTAATTTCTAACTATTGGAATGGACTCAGAATATGTGACAGAATTTTGATTTAAGATCTGATATATATAAACTTCTTATAACAGAAGTTCCCATGCATTCTTAATCAGTTGATTGAAGTTGTGAAGCGAAAGGATCCTTTGATCTAATATGGTCAAGGAAAATAAGCCACTATGGAAGCAGCGGCGACTCGTTTGATAAGCGCTGGACACTGTTAATCCTTGTAGCTTGTGTTGCTTGGTCCTGTTTCTATGTAAGTTCTGTCTCACATGGCAATCTCTAATGGGTGGAACTGTAGTTTTTTACAGTCAAATAGCAGATCCTTTTAAACTCTCATGCTTGGAAATGCACAATCCAAAAACATATTAAACCTTCATGTAATTAATCAACTTTTCTTTTTACAATTGCCATAGTATTAGTTTGATAATTGCCCTAGTTGTAGAGTACCATCCTAGTGAATGGGTAGTGGGCTGGAACTCTATTGTACTCAGTAAATGCCAAACATTCCCTTGGTAAGTACCAAATCTAAGATAGTTATCATCAAAATGGAAAAGCAGATTAGGCTATGTTTTCATGTCTATAATTCTGTGCTATCAAGTCTCAAGTACAGGTGTCGAACAAATTTGAATTGTTTGATATATATGTTCCTAAAGGACAAGTGCCTTTAGCTTCAAGTATTTCACTGGTTTGGCCAGTCTTATATAACATCTGTCTAATCAAATTACCAGCCTAGTTAACTTGCAAAACTAACTTTCTAACATATTTCTTTGTTTTACGTACTATGTGTAAGGTCTGGTCATGAAAGCAATAGGCCCTGTATTTGTCACTGCCCTTCAACCCTCTTGTATGCATGATAACCGTAGCTGCACTTGGTTCTGCCATATTTTCCGCGAACAAGTTCACCTTGGAAGGTAAATTGATCCATCTTTCCAGCATCATACAAAATCATTTCATGTTTACGTACAGGACACTAAATATTCAATTTAAAAAAATAATGGAAATCATTAGTCCCCATTCAAAAGCAATTTCAGCAAGTACTTTTGGTGATGAGCATATATGATCAACCTTTAATCAAATATATTGGAATTAAAAGAAAATAAGGTGAATTGTATAATGAGGCCAGCCTGGTCCATTAGCATACCTAATCTCCAATTACTAAAGGTACTTTAATAATCGTCCATTATTTAAAGAAAGAAAATTAGTGATTAATATTAATAATTCAGCAATTAGCTAAGAGCTTCTTTCTTCTTGTCCAACAGACGAAAACGAAAATGGAGCTTAAGAAAAACAAACATTTCTAGGAGTTCTTATCGTGCATCTTGCTTTGGATTTTTTTTTCCTTTTATATGAATAAATTTATAAAGGCAGCCATGGCAAATTAGCCATCAATTAAGCACTGGGAATAAGCTTTAAACAAGTAACATAATAAAGAACGAAAAGGTAAAAAGGTACAACTTTTAAGTATTTGTTCTTTTCAATTTCTATTCTTTCATTAACTTATTTTTCATTCTTTCATTTTGCTATGCATTATCATAGGAGGAATTATTATTGCAATCGGCCTCTGTTCTGTGGTATGGGTTAAAAGCAAGGATGGCACACCACAATCTACCCCTTCAAAGGTTGATCATGTCCAATAGCTACCAACTTCTGAAAAAGAGAATTGTACTGATGGCACTAAGCTTGTAATTGCCACAATTAACAGTTCTCAGGCAAAAGATGTTCCTAAAAGCATGACCTTAAAAAAGTAGCAGGGAAACTTGCCTTTCTAAGTCTCTGCATAATGCCTTTCCATCAGGCTCTTCTCTGCAACTCGTTAGCGAAAAAACATTGAGGAAATTACACCCAGGCATGGATCATGTGAGTACAAAAATATAGTGGCTTGATCAATGTCATTATTAATGTTAATAGACTAATCAACAAAGTGCTGTTGTCTATATAGATATAGAGAGAAGTAGAAATGCAGAAGATTAACTTTTGCCGCAACACTTATAGCTATCTAGGACAAATTTCTCTCTTTGTTTACCACTATCACAACATTGCCATATTAGAGTGCGTCAGTGAGATTGTGCACTACAAATATATGATTGAGGATCTGGGGCTTCCTGGTTATAATATATCAATATTTCTGTTAGTCAAGAAGCATTTTTATTGTGTTTGTTGGATTCTTAGCTCAATTTTTTTCCAAACTGCTGATGCATGCATTTGCCTGTGGATATGACTTATAATAAAATTGGAATTGC